CAGGGAAGGTTGGCGGGAAATGGGAAGCTAATAATGAGTACAAAAATGAATCAATTGTTCTAAAAATGATTGTGGCAATAACTGTGCAACTCTTCTTGATGTGAACTATGGTAGTTATATAATGTGGTGTCAATTTGGGACTTGAGAGGATTAAGAGTGGAGGGGTGGAGTCTAGTCTGTCAATCAGATCATAGCCAATGAGGCCTCTGTGTGGGCATGGCTTTCTCCTGAGAATTCTGGGAACTCCTATTTTTCTTCCTTGGAGGTGGGAGATAGCCTCTCTCTGTTCACTTCCTGGGAGACCCTCTACTGACAAGACACATGGCACTATGCCCTGGGAACTGGAGAAGCCACATGGACCTACCCTGATGCAACCAGACCTCTGGAACCGGAAAAGCTATGCAGAGCCTGCCAATGCTGAGATGCTTATACCACTGGATCCACAAGACTTCCAACCCACTGGCCTGTGATCCTCCTGCATTTGGCATCAATGCATGTATTTCGTAAGGAGGACTTTATAGAATGGTATCAGACATATGGGCTAATATTAGACTCATGGACTTGATTTGGACTGGGCTGAGACATTTTCTCAATATACAATTGCTCTTGTATATAAACCTCTTTCTTATATACATATGTCTATGAATTTGTTTCTCTAGTCTACCCCCAGACTAACACAGTCACTGAACTATTGAATTGTATGATATGTAAATTATATGCCAATAAAACAGATGATGCCCAGTTACAACTACTGACTGCTCTAAATGGGACCACAGTAGAAGAGTGGGAGAAAAATAATAAACAAAACTCAAGATGATAAAAAAGCTCAGGTGCATTGATCAGACAGAGACTGGTGGCACCCTTGAGACTTCACCCTCAGTTACCCTTCGTGTCTGGAACTGAACTCACCCCAGGGCTCAACTTCCATTGCAAAAATAAGGGAATTCTTACTGTAAGATGAGCAGTAACACCAGGGAGGGACACACTCCTGAGGATAATCAGAAACACACAGAGGAAGTGACATGAATGCTGTTAAGCTGGTCAGAATTGCAATCAATGGCATGGAGCAAAATGTGTGTGAATTGTTAAATGGAAACGGATTTTCTCGGTAAACTTTCACCCAGATCACAATAAAAAGCTTTTTAAAAAAAGTTTAACTTTGGGGGAAGAACTACGGTTGCTTGTGTTTGCTTCCTTGCAAAAGCAGCAGGCTACCAGTGTTAAAATACTGGTGGGGTTGAAAAAAAAAGGAAATAGAAAAAGGCAGAGTAGAACTGTTCCTTTGGGTTTCTGAGACTACATGTTTCTAGGAGCAGAAAAAGCCTTATCTTTCTCCCAAAGTTTGGCTGGTAGATTCAAACTGCTGACCTTGAGGTTAGCAGCCCAGGCTTCTTACTGGCTGGTATTCATTGTTAAAACAAATGGGCAAATGACACAAAGACACCTCACCAAAGAAGACAATCAGGTAGCTAACAAACATGTGAAGAGAAGCTCGCGATCACTAGCCAGGATAATACAAATCAAAACTAAAATGAGATACTATCTCACTCCTGCAAAAAAAAAAAGAAAGAAAGACACCAATGCTGGCAAGCTTCTGTGGGGACTAGAAGTCGTGTGCACTGCTGGTCAGTGTGTAAAATGGTACAATCATTATGGGAATGGTATGGTGTGTCCTCAAAAAATCAGAAATAGAAATACCATATAAACCAGTAATCCCCACTCTTAGGCCTATATACTAGAGAAATAAGGGCAGTAACATGAATGACTAGCGATACTCACAGCCATGTCCATTGTAGCAATATTTACAAGAGCGAAAACAGACAACAATGGATGAATGGATGAACAAAATGTGGCACATACATACAATGGAATGTCACACAATCATAAAGAATAATGATGGATCTGAAAAACATCATAACGTGGATAAATCTGGAAAGACATGCTGAGTGAATTAAATCAATCATAAAAGGAAACATAATAAACAAGCGGCCATCTAGCTCAGAAGCAACGAAGCTCACATGGAACAACATATTAGCCTGTGTGATCACGAGGTGTCGAACGGATCACTGAAGACAAATGGGTGCATAAGCAAATGTGGTGAAGAAAGCTGATGGTGCCCAGCTATCAAAAAGTATAGCGTCTGGGGTCTTAAAGGCTTGAAGGTAATCAAGCGGCCATCAAGCTCAGAAGCAACAAAGCCCTCATGGAAGAAGCACACCAGCCTATGCAACCACGAGGTGTCGAAGCGATCAGGTATAAGGCATCATCAGAACAAAAAATCTTACCATAGTGAATGATGGGGGGAGTGCGGAGTGGAGTTCCAAAGCCCATTAGTAGGTCACTGGAGATCCCCTTGCAGAGGGGTCTTGGGTAGGAGATGAGCCAGTCAGGGTGCAATGTAACAACGATGAGAAATACAACTTTCCTCTAGTTCCTAAATGTTTCCTCCCCGCTCCCACTACCATGACTCGAATTCGACCTTGCAAGTCTGGCTAGACCAGAGGAGGTACACTGGTACAGATAGGAACTGAAAATACAGGGAATCCAGGGCGGATGAGCCCTACAGGACCAGTGGTGTGAGTGGCGAAACAGGGAGGATAAAGGGAGAGTGGGTAGGAAAGAGGGAACCGATTACAAGGAACTATATGTGACCTCCTCCCTGGGGGACAGACAACCAAAAAGTGGGTGAAGGGAGACGTCGGACAGGGCAAGATATGACAAATTACCCATTTATAAACTATCAAGGGCTCATGAGGGAGGGGGGGAGCGGGGAGGGAGGGGAAACATGAGGACCTAATGTCAGGGATTTAAGTAGAGAGAACATGTTTTGAGAATGATGTACAAATGCGCTTTACACACTTGATGTGTGTACGGATTGCGATAACAGTTGTATGAGCCCCTAATAAAATGTTAAAAAAAAAAAGAAAAAGAACCCCCCCCCACCCCCAAAAAAATTTTTTTAAAAAAAGGAAACATAATGCATGAGGTCAGTATTACAAAAATTCAAGAATGGGTTTAACATAGAAAGGAACGTTCGGGCAATGAATGTGCAAATGTGCCTTACACAATTGATGTATCTATGGATTGTGATAAGAGTCATATGAGCCCCTAATAAAACGATTAAAAAAAATAAAAGAAAGGAATGTTCTTTGCTGGTGACCAGGGATGGTGGAAGGATAGGAGGAGGAAGGCTCACTACGAACAGCAGACACGTATGTTAATGGGTGACACAGGATCCAGTGGACCTCAGCATTACAGGACCAAAGTAAATGAAGCCAGTGAGAGAGAGGGATCAAATATGGAGCTCTGGTAGCATAGTGGTTATGCTTTAGGCTGCTGCCTGCAAGGTCGGCAGTTCAAAACCACCAGCCACCCCAAGGGGGAACAACCAGGCTTTCTACTCCCATAAAGAGTTACAGTCTCAGAGATGGGGCTTTCTACTCCTGTAAAGAGTTAGTCTTGGAAACCACAGGTGCAGTCCTACCCTATCCTATAGGGTCACTATACGTCAGCATTGACTTGACAGCCGTGAGTATGGCAAATGCTAGGGGCCCTGGTGGCACACTGTAAGACGCAATTCTGCAGCAACAGTAATAAAAAGCAACCTACATTCAATTTGATTCCAACTCATCACAAACCTATATAGAGTTTCTGAAACGGTAAATCTGTACAGGAGCAGACAGCCTCCCCTTTCTCCCTCAGAGTGGCTAGTGGGTTTGAACTGCCAGCTTTACTGCTAGCAGCCTAATGCCTAACCTATGGTGACACCAGAGCTCCTTGCAACAGCAGTGAGAACCACCAACCATGTGGGAGGGGCTACACAGGCAGATATATATGCTATATAGGTATGGGCAGGGCAAATGGGAATCCATGCATGTGCACACAGCTGTATAGTGGTGGGCATATGTATAGGTATATGTGTACTGTATAAATTTTCATATAGACTCATACAATAGAGCACACATGAGACACAGTTAAAGAAACATCTTAGACCTACCCAAACATCTCACAGAATGGGGTTACTGGCCTTGAAGGCTAAGGACCACAGTATTGGGGAGCATAGTTCAAAGGAAATTGTTCTACATCCTAGTTCCATGATATGAGTAGCATCTGTGGTCTTCAAAGCTTGCAAAGAGTCATCTCAGATACAACTATTGTTCTCTTCCTGTCTGGTGAAGGAAACCCAAGACTCCAGTTAGTCCACGGGACTAGTGGCCCCACGGACCATTGCTTCTTCTAGCCTGAGACCTAGAAACAGTAGATGGTGCTCAGCTACTGCTCCTATTATTACTATTACTACCGACTACGCTGACCAGGACTATGGCAGAAGTCCTGGTTAGAATGGGAGAAAAATAATAGAACAAACTTCAAATTCATACGACAGACCAGACTTGTGGGATAGATAGAGGATGGGGAAACTTCCAAAACTATTGTCTTTTTAACTTGGAACCAAAGCAAATCCTGAGGTCACCTTTCAGCCAAATAATACGTGTAGCCATTATGTCAACAGGGCTCCCAAATAGATTGGCTTATACAATAAACAAGAACACCTGAGAGGAATGTGCTGTCAACTTGAGGAGACCAAGGCGCAGCACTTGTCCGAGAGCAAAGAGGAGAAGGCAAAGAGGGGCAGGTCACCGGGAGGATTGACACACTGACTGGATAGCAACTAATGGCGCGGGGCGAGCTGGCGATAAATCGTTGAAAGGGACATGAAAAGGCTGTGTAAACGTTCACTAAAGTACAGTCGAATGTTTACGGGGGAAAAAAAGAGTGGCTGAGGGAGAATTGCAAGGCACCAGAGAAAGAGAGATTCTGAGGAAGAAATACCTGGACACCTCATCTCCACACCTGGCCCCAGTCTCCCCAAAGCTTACTGCTGCAACAGAACGCCAGCCCACCAGAGGACCAGGAAGAGGTCCCAGGTCACTCCAGTGGTCTCCGCTGCCCAGGGTGTCAGCAGCCAAGGAAGGCATGGGGAAGAAGGGGTGAGGACTCACGGGTCAGGTACTTGAAGGCGGGGTGGGCACCAGTGCCTGTGACTGCGACCTTGCTGAACATGGGGAAAGAGACGCTGTAGGTTCGGCGGGCGAAGCTCTCAATCTCCTTGTTGCTGTCAGGCTCCTGCTGGCCAAACTGGTTGCAGGGGAAGGCCAGCACGTTGAAGTGGTGGGGGCCCAGGTCCCGCTGCAGCCCTTGCAGGGCCCGATAGTTCTGGTCTGTGAAGCCACACTCGCTGGCCACGTTCACCACCAGGGATACCTGGATGACGACAACAGCAGCAAGAGCTCAAATACATCACACAACCCAGTGAAAGGCAGGCACCTGTGCTCATCCACCCCCTCTCCCACCCCACCTGCGACGCCCTACGCGCTCTCACACATGGAGGAACACATATGTAAACTCATATATAAATGTATGTGCAATGATCTCACATACAAACACACACATGAAATAACAAATGCAGTGGCTGATAGATAGCACACGCATATAATGGACACAATGGAACATAGACACACTACACATAAATAGCTAGGCACATGCTCTATGATGGACAGAAACATAAGCACCGATCGCACACGCCCCAAACCACACACATCCCGCTCACACAGAGAGGTCCACGGGCTGTTGCGCACACCCCGGAGGTGACATGAGGGAGTGGCAAGGTAGACCGAGTTCAATTCCCTGCTCAGTCAGCTCGAATCTCTTAGCATCTCTTCGTTCCTGGTGCTGCTGTAACAGAAGTACCACACGTGAGTGGCTTGAACACAGACATTTCTTTTGTCGGTTCAGGAGGCCAGAAGTCCAGAGGCAGGGCCCTGTGCTAGGGAAGGGCTTTCTCTTGGTTGGCTCTGGGGGAAGGTCCTTGTCTTTGGATCCTGGATGATCTTCATGGGGATCTGCCCCCATTTCTGCTTGCTGGCTTGCTTGTTGAATCTCTTTTTGTATCTCAAAAGAGATCACTTAACATACCAGGCATTAATGTGGACTCCTTAACCTAACAAAGAAAACTTATTCCCCAAGTGGACTTATAACCACAGATGTAGAGGTTAGGATTTACACCACAAATGTTTGGGAGACACAGTTCAATCTTTAAAATCAGCGAGCACTCATCACTCCATACTACCGGTGCCGGTATCTGTCCATTGTATACAGAAGTTGGGCTGCTTCATCTCTGGGCCTTACATTTGGGAAAATCTCAGTAAGCGCCACTGAATGACCAAGCAAGGGTATACACGTGCCAAACACCTGCATGGGTACATCAACAGACATGATGTTGTTTATATCAGGACCCCAGGGTAATAAGTTTTTAACCTTCCCCTCTGATAAATATCACTTTGTAATAAAACTTTCTCGATCACAAAATTAATAACTACATTTACTAAAGCCTTTAGGTGGCAAATATAAAGCTGGCTGATGGATCCTGGTGATAGGATTGCAGTGAACTTCATGGCACTAATGCTGTCTGTGCTATTGAAACAAACAAGCAAATAAAAGAGCTCACCGCCGTTGAGTTGATTTGGACTCCAAGCAACCCTGCAGGGCACAGTAGAACTGCCCCTGAGGGTCTGCAGGTCGGTCAGTCAATGTGGGCATAGAAAGCCTCCTCTCCTCTCTCTCCGAGCCGCTGGTGGCTACACACCTCCTGGTTCGCAGCCCAGTGCATAACCAGTTTTGCCACCAGGCTTGCTGTGAGGTGGAACTGACTCAGTGGCAGGGAGCGCTGATGGCATAGTAGCTGCTCTTGGGCTGCTCACCGCAAGGTCCGAAGTTCATAACCGTCAGCCGCTCTATGGGAGAAAGACAGGGCTTCCAACTCCCTTAAGGAGTTCCAGTCTCGGAAACGTGCAGAGGCAGTTCTACCCTGTCCTTTATAGGGTCGCTGTGAGTGGGCATCCACTCTATGGCAGTGAGTTGGATTTTAGGGATTCTGAAAGGACTCTGAGATCCCACCTTGTACTGCTGCAGTCCAGCCCCAACTCCCTGACCCCTTTTTGAGAAGAGTCAAGAATACTCCAGCTGGCACCATGAAAAACCACTTCCCAGTGGCAGCCAGGACACTGGACCTCACGGACACAAAGGGCTCAGGCTGGACAGGGTTCTCAATGTCAGTGCTATCACATTTGGGGGCTGAATCAGTCTTGGTTGTGGAGGCCTGCTCTGGTCACTATAGGATGTCTAACACCACCCCTGGCCTCTGTCCACGAACTGCCCAAACCTGACCATCAACTGTGTCTACAGACAGTGTGTGTGTGTGTATGTGTGTGTGTACTCACACAAAATCACTAGACTAGATGCTAAGACCCACCTGGCTGTAACTCCCTCCCCCCACCAAGAGATGAAGAAGGGCCCGTCACTGGGGCCCCAGGCTGACTGAACGTCTCAGTATCTGTCATATTCTGCTTGGGGTGGTGAGAAACTGGGACTCTGGACTCCCTTCCTCCATTCTTAGGGACTCTTTTCTTTCCTTGTTCGAGCCCGGAGCAACGAGAGCTTTAAACATCGCTTAGTTTTCATTTACTTCTTTTGTGTCTACGATAGCTACATAGAAGCCCACTCTTGGAGCAGAGGGAAACCCTATTTCTAGTTTATCTTTAAAGCCCACAGGCTTATGTTTAGACACCAAAACACAAACAGACCACCCAGCTACATACAGCTAATTTACATATCCACATATCCAAGTGCAAATTCAGATGCTTGCAGGGCACAGAAACAGCAATGAAACCATTCACACACACACCCCTGTAGATACACAATCACACCGTAGGCAAGTACATTCCTAAATGGTCACCTCTTTATCCATACTGTCTTCTCAATGGGGCTGTCCATTCTACACAAGGGCCCGATGTCAATCTTGCCCAAGGCTGTATCTACAGGGCTGGGGCTAGTGCCAAGCAGGTAGCAGAATTCAGTGAATACTGGCAGGTGAATGAATGAGCATCTTGTCCAGCCCTCACTCCTAACGTGGGACATCCCACAGCGTCATCTGCAGCCTCCCCAGACCAACAGGTTTTCTTCTAAGTAGAGTGATTAAGGGTATGCCCTCTGGAGTTGAACTGCTTGGGTTCAAATCACAACTCTGCATCTTAGTAGCTGTGTGACACTGTCTGTTTTCATTTTCACACTCAGTGCTACTGGGAATGACCTTGTTCACTCCTCCATCCCTGTCGTCCGGATTCCCATTCCATAGAAGATTGATTTAAGCAGACACTCGTCTGTTTGGTTGACCAATGTATTCCCAGAGCATGGCCCAGAATTTTAGATAGAGCAGCGCCTCAATACCAAAACAAACCCACTGCCGTTGAATTGATTCCGACTCAGAGGCCAGCTAGGACAGAGTAAAACTGTTCCCTAGGGTTACCCAACTGTCAGTCTTACTGGAAGCAGCCTGCCTCATCTTTCTTCCATAGAGCAGCTCATGGGTCAGACCCATGGCTTTTCTGTTAGCAGCTGATGATGCTTAAGCATTGTGCAACGGGACCCCTGGGTGCTCGATAGTGAATGACTAATGTGTCCATGAGCAGGAGAGCGCACTGAGGGCAAGGGAGGTCTCTGCCCTGAGTCCTGGATGAGGTTCCTGCACCCATGCAGAGCCCACCAAACACAGGTACACAGCACTCTACAGTTGATCATGGGCTTCCTCCCTGTCAGGAGCCCTGGTAGGGTAAGGGGTTGTGCAATGGGCTGCTAGCCACAAGGTAAACAGTTTGAAACCGCCAGCCTCTCGCAGAAGATGGGGCTTTTTACTCCACAAAGAGTTATAGTTTTGAAACCCACAGGGAGGGGCAGTTCCGCCCTGTCAGTCTAATAGTCCCAACTGTGTTTGTGTGGCATCCCCAGTGTTATCTGATGTGAAATTCACAGCCTGGGGCACTGACAGAACCCCTCCCTCCCAGCATAACTGAGCATTCATGAGAGGCCCTTTTCCATCAAAGACAACCCTGCTGTCTGGAGAACGCTAGTCGTCCCTGTTGTGTGGTGCCCATCTATCCCTTAAGGACCTCTCCCCACATGTCCCACACCACAGCCCGCAGGTCTGTCCTGAAAATTGGAATTAGGGGGCTCTCCACTACACACATTGTAACATCTAGGCCTCTGGACATAGCTGTGTTCCAGGCCCCTCACATCCTTCCCACCGCCTGCCCCTGCTCTCCCACCACTTGGCTCATCCTTCATACCCTTCCTGCGGGTTGCCTCTGAGCCTGGCATGGGCCGTGGGTTCCTTTGACCCGAGGTCCTCTCAGTTTGGGTAAAAGGAACTCACCCCAGCCACACTGCCTCTCTGAGGTCCTGTGTGGCTAAGGTCTCCTCTCGGTGCAGAGGCAACACATGGCTGTCTGGCTGCCATCTTCGGGGCTGGCCTAGAGTGGACAACGGGTGGAAACGCGTTCACTTCCAAAGGGCCCTTTTGTAGCGCGTGTCACCTGATGCAAATGCAGGTCT